TGATCACGCACGCACGCTCACACGCGCACACACGCTCACACATACATGATCACGCACGCACGCACGCACGCACGCTTACACGCGCACGATCACGCACGTTCACATGCGTACGCACTCACGCACGCACGCTCGCACACACAGGACACTTACCGGCTCTTGCCTAGCGGGTTTCCGCACACGAACGCCTTTGCCATGTAGATCATGGCGCTGCGATCGCCGGCGTCTGCAGCCTGCAGCATGTAGTCGATGCCGCGGTCCACGTTATCCAACACGTTCTGCAGCAGACGATAGACCCACACTATAGAGGGCAGCACAGTAGCAGCGCGGCGTGTCGCTTTGTCGACCACCATCGTTAATTACTCACCTTTGCATGTCATTAATGATTGGAAAGAAAGGAATAATAACAACTTCCCGAGGAGACTCGAAATAATTATTATAATTATAAGAGACGACGCCCACCACCTGATCGAATACTCTTGCGCACTGCGACGCAGATCCATAACGAGAGAGAGAAAAGGAACAAGATAGAGAGAGAGACACACAGAGAGAAAGAGCGAGAGAGAGAGAGAGAGACACACAAATAGAGCGAAAGAGAGAGAGAGAGAGAGCGAGAGAGAGAGATAGAGGGAGAGGGAGCCCCCAACCTCCGCGGCGTGCGCTGCACCGTACCTCTATGGTGACGTCACAGAGCATGTCTGTGGGCAGCGACAGGTAGAGACGGGCGAGCGTGAGTATGGCCTCCAGCACGCCACACTTTGCCGCCTGCTGCAGGTGGAACATGGCCGCCCCCATGTCGCGCTCGCTCTCCGCACCGTCCGAGAACCGTCCCATCTCATGGTACTTCGCTAGATCCAGGTGAATCTGCGTGAGGCGACAACGATTTATATTTATTATTATTATATATATATAATATTATATATCCTATTTTATATTATCAGGAGTTAATAATGACAAAACTTTAAAAAATAATGATAAAAATAATTAAATAAATTGAAAAAAATTATGATAAAAATTATATTTATATTTATTATGCACGTCGTACTGTTACAATGACGGACGCTTGAAACGTACTGACAGAGCTACGAATGTTTAACATGATTCGTACAGGAGGACTTTTAAAGCTCATTTAACGCAATTTTTATTGAGGTTTGCACATTATTGATGGTGCAAAATTTCTTTTTATTACAGGCAATGATTCTTTCTAAAAATTCAAGGACATTTTCATGAAATTCAAGGACATTTTCATGAAGGACTTTTCAAGCACAAAATCAACAATTACTAAATTCAAGCACTTTTCAAGGACTCCCCTCAAATTCAAGGACTTTTCAAGGACTGTGCGAACCATGTATATATATATATATATATAATATCAAGAGCGTATAAAGAAGGCGAGCGTACAACGGTGAAATGGTGAAACCATGTTGCAGTATTAGTCGAATTAAGAAACTTCGCTTTTTTATTTTGACGATTCTTTGCGGTATTATTGATCAGCTGTCCTACCTTGTTAATATAAAACAAACCGCTTGTCCCTACGATACTCCTACGCTGAGATAATGAGCGGTGGAAATCTGGTATTTTCGCCGAAAACCGACTCGAGATCAGTGTTTACTGTGACTGACTCTCGCTTTGTGGCCAGTTTATTGCTTCCAGTCGCCGCTGTGTAGCGCCATGGTAGCGCTGACTCACGTCAGTATTACGAAGATTACTACACATCCAGCGTGAGGTGGGCACAGGTGGGGGTCATCACCAGGCCCGTAGCCAGCTTTATATTGGGGGGGGGGGGTTCGTTTTTCAATGTTGGCAATTTGCTCGGCAGGGGCGTGTACAGGATTTGTACCAGGGGGGGTCTAACCGTAACCCAAAGTTGCGAGCACGCGAAGGGGGGGTGTGGGGGGCCCTCCCCCAGAATTTTTTTTAAATTACACCCCCTCAGATGCGTTTTCTGCGCGAGCAAGGGGGGGTCCGACTCCCTGGACCCCCCTGTACACGCCCCTGCTCGGGCGCGAAGCGACCAGGCGAGGGAGCCAAGCGACCGAGCGGGAAGAGAGTGTGGGAGGGGG